AGTGATTCCACGAGTCGGACAGGATCTCCATGCCACGGCCACATTTTGAATCTGCAACAAAACGGCGAAAAGGAGATGAGGCTCTCACCGAAAGGGAAGGGGGACTCCACACCCACTAAAGCTGCAGCGAGTTCACCATGTTTCTGCTCAAGCGTGTGAGGGATGCATGGCTTTTCAACGATCCCCCCTTGTCAGACTTTCAAGGCCCCAGCCTTCCGCGGACGGCAAGACACAGGCGCGGGCTCGTGCTCAAGTGACTTTAAAACTCTTCAACTGGGGTTTGGGCATTTGATTTGTTTTGGGAGGTTTGGCGTTGAGGGTTTCTGGCTGCTTCGTGTCGGGTTTGCGGGTTTTGAGCTTCGTCAACGGCAGTTTGTAGTTGGGTTGCTCAGCGTTTTGGCAAGCTTAAAGTATTCACAAACACTCATTGCAGCACATGCAGCAACCAAGGAGACAGAGGCATTCGTGTTAGCGGCTGTTAGCGTTGGGACGACAGCAATAGCCTCTACACGGCTTATGCGGCGCAACAGCCTTAAACTTGAAGTTGAAGCCAAAAGTCCAGAGCGGACTCTACGTGTGGAAGCCCATAGACATGCTTTCATGTTCAGTTGACAGCGCCATGTCTGAGTTTGACTTCTCGACAGTGCTCTCCGCCATGCAGTCTGCAGGGGTTTCGCTGTAGAGGGGCTCTGGGGTGGGGAGTAAGTTTTAAAGAACAACTCAACACTATGCGTAGCAGACAACCAGGGTGGAAGGTCATCGCTTTCGCACGACATAGCCTGCTTGCAGATAGCTTGCTGAGTTGTGGACTTAGCCTTGTGGCTGACAGCTGATGTCGCACATTGTTCACCAACACATGATGACACATATGACAGAGTGGCCTGTTCACTATGCAACTGGCCCATAAAGCCTAATCTTTCAAGTGGTTGTTGGTGGTCACACGAAACCTTTGTACGCCCGCCCGAGGTGCGCAGTATCTTAAGCCATGTTGCATTGGCATATACCTTGGGACTTGACGGCGCCCTCAACCTGCATGATGATTTCCTATGCCATTCTCCTACCCCTGTCCGATAGAATTCTGGACACACAGTTCCTGCGCAGAACTTACAGAAGCCTGCGTCCCGAGCTCGGATCCCTGTACAGGATTGGAGATGCTTGTCATTGGGTAGCGGTAAGGCGGTAGCAGCAGCTGCAGTGGCGGATTTTGCTGCAGCGGTAGCAGCATCACAGAAGTAGTCATGAGATGTAGTGATTCTACTTTTCCTAGGTACAGTCGGCATGATTCTTTCCTGTAATCACAATGGAAAAGCTCTCAACCTGAAGATCGACAGGACACCACTCCGGCCGTTCCTGTTGCAGCCGGTGTTGAACTGAGCTTGACTTGCAAGATCTGTTCCAAACTAGCAAGCCAGGGTACTGAATTGCCTGCGTAGGTATGTATATGAGTATTCATATATGTGCACATGCATCTAGAAACTGTGTATGTGTCCCATTGTGTCCCTCTACCCTCAACTGCCGTGAGGCAAGTTGCAGATGACGTTAAGTGAAGCACAAAGATGCACTTGCTTTTGGTTGAGAGCGCGCTGCAGGAAGTACTGGAGAGGGATCGCATGCTGTCGAATGCTCCAGGCAAATTGAAGGTAATTCACCTGCCTCCCTCAGATCAGATTATTCCCGAGAGTTTTCCCTAAGACCCACTGATGCCTGGATGCAAAACACCGACCAGTAAGTACAGCTAAGAATCCATGTGCGGCGTATAGCAGCTTCAGACAGTCTCTTCGAAGCCAATAGAAGCCAGACTGTCCTCAAGTAGCTACCTGCTAGGTGATGAATCTACTCGTGCGTATTAAACGATTGCAGCATTTTCTCAATGTACATGTCGCTCGATATGAAGCGACCCCCGAGCAAGTAAGGTTGTTTTGGATTTGTGGTTCGTGCGACCAGCCAGGTGTCGTGCAGGTGACGAGGCAGGGATCAGTTGCATCCAGCTGCCGTCGGGATGTTGCCTAGGACAGTGAGGCTCCATGGAAATCTTGCAGAACTTGTCCTAAGTTGCAGGTCTTGGAGGGGTTTTCGCATTCAGGCCTTTTTTCTATGGGAGGTTGCCTGCATTGAAAAATTGACAGTGTCTTCCGCCATCAGGGTAGTCTCATACTAGGTTATACATGTCACTTTGCATTACGTCACCTTGGGTGTATCCTTCTCGATCAGTTTCGACATGTCCTCACAGATCGACAATCTATAAGCCCATCCCCGGCGCACGGTGTAAGTCGAGGAAGTGTGAGCCCATGTGCGGCTTCAGCTTGTTGGAGCGTATCAGGGTGAGGGTTTAGGGTCCATTTCGCTCTAGATCAGGCGGGCACCGACTTCAAAACCCCGAGATCAAAATCCAACCAGCCCAAAGTTCAGATGGGCCGGATACCATGATGTTCCTTCTCTTTCCCTGAGGGTCCAAATACTCTTATAGTATCGTACATACTTTGGCCTTAAAAAGGTACCCAAGGGCCTAGGGGCCAAAGCATCGACTCTATGGGCACATGGACCCTTAATCCCCTGTTTCCGGTCCGGCAGCCTGTCGCAAAAAGCTCACAGCTCGCATGCTCATCGCAGCCTGTGTTCTCCAAGAGCTTTTCGCAAACCCCTTTTTGGAAAGGCCGCAATTATGCAACGTCAGGATCCCTACGATGGTCCAGTTTAGGCTACATGTTTTCGTTCAGATGGGGTCGTCTACACTGAGGCCCCCCGCAAGCCCTAACCAGGCTAAAGCCCCTTGTTGTAGGTTGCCAGCCGAATAGATTGCCATGGCTGGACCACATGGCAGGAAGATGCGGTCCGAAGGATACTTTGGGCCGTATGCTTCCCCTTCAAGGGTTTCAGGGTTTAGTTTAGGATTATAGGGCATTATTTATCAATGAACCTGATTTCTGGACAACTCAATCCTGAGCCCTCGATTGTCCCGAAATCATTTGCTGCTGTGGGGGTTCTTTGATTTTGGACTCAGGTCGTCAGCATAATATAAGGGCATAAATAATTACCAATACTATTTTGGGGGTTCCTTATTATTTTTGTGGTATAACATACCCCCACAACCCTATTCTATATTATTCAGGCCCCTATATTAGGCATTGTCGGATGCGTAGGCTTGGCGGTATGGGGAGTCCTCAATTTGACAGAGCACAGGCTACATAGTCTCTATTTATGTGCCCTGGCTTCACTGGCGTGCTGTGCTGGCTTCCCTTGGCTTTTGAGGCCCGGTGGTCCAGCTTCGATGCAAACCAATGTAGGTTTCTCTTCTCGGGTGCTGCGACTCGTTTGGGTTTTCTAATTCCCCCGACTCTTCCATACTAGCCCTGGTCAGATTTTCATGAGACAAAATGTACATCGGTTCCCGAAAAAGACACCTTGCAGGATCCTGTTCGCAGGCCTGTGTTCGCAAGCTTTACTAGGAGCTTTCTTTGCACCGTCGCCTAGGACCGCGAGGCCTTCAGACCCCTATGATCGATGCCACTTCAGTTAGTCCCTTGTGCGTGGAACCATACAGTTCATTTTCGGGCGGTAACTTTTTGTTGTAACCATGCCCTGTTAAATAGGTCATGCCAAGTTCTAGTTCCATGCTGTGCGAATCTGTCTTACTCGACTGTCTGGTTTTGTTTGTTTGCTATCTGTCTTGCCTGTCTTCCTGCTCATGACTGTCATGAGACTCGTCAGAATGACAAACCCTATCTCAAACACACACCTGTGCGAAGCCGGAAGGAGCATGCTAGGTATGGTAGCCGCGTAAGGTCCCGGTGCATAGTAGAAGATGCAGAATGTGACATATCCAAGCCCCATCTGTAGCTACAATCATATAGCTACACGAAGCTAAGACCACAGACTAGTCGAGATTCACTCGTATTTCCAGTTCCAGCACGCAGCTGCAACACTGCAACGCACTTCAACAGAACCTCGATGTTCTCAGACTTCGACCTTGGCGATCCTACTGTTGCTACATTTGGACGTCATGGCGTCTAGGCATCGTCGCCGCTGTGGGACAGCAAGTCGGGGAACGTCGTGATACGTGTTCGTTTCCAGTCAAACTGCATCCGGAAATTACTGGCTTCTGAGTAGGATAATGCCGGATCTGGCACCACTAAAGTCTAAAGTCTTCGTTGCCAGCCAGTGTCGGCCCAAGCGACCCACCCGTGGATATTTGCAGTGGACGAATTGGCATTTCAATTCCCCCCAGGGCCGCTTGGAAGCTCTTCAGTTCAGGGTTTGGGCTTTAGGGTTAGTTTCTCACAGTATGGTATAGGACTTTCGGACCGAGAACTGGCTGATGTGGCATCGTTTTATTCTTCAGTACGTCCCCCTTCCCGCAATGTTGACACAAGCAGTGCCAGTCGCAGGTGTTCTTCGGATCCCGGGGTCGGGTTTGAGGCTTTCGGGTATAGCGATTGGTATTGGTCTGGCAACGCGACACGTCCTAGACACAAGCTCCGAACACGCACTTGATGGATATGTGGAGAGAGGCCTCAGTCTATTTACGAGGGTCTGACTTCCAAACAAGATGTGGGGTCCAAGTCCACCTTTGCCCAAAAGCCCCTTCAAGCAGGTTCGTCTCAATTTGTCGTCGGCTGTAGCACTTGATGATGACATACATCAGCATTGCCCATGTTCCCACGCGTTCCTCAAACTTGGTTGTTGTGCTGTCGAAACTCCTCGCGTTTTGTTTCAGCGAGGCTCCATGAAACAGGTGCAGGTTAAAGGCTGGACAAGCTTAGCTTGCAGCCGCAGCCCAAAGGAAATCCACTCAAGCCCCTTGATCCGTCATGTTCAATCCCACTGCCCTGGGCGGATCAGGTCAGTAGCACAGCCATCTTCCCCTGACAGAAATGAAAACGTGTGAAAGCCGCCTCGCTCCTTCGCCACACGGACGAACTGGTCCTGTGAAATCCGGAGTGGTACCGTTAGAAATACATGTGTTTTTTCCTCTCTGCAAGCTGCTGAGGACAAGTGCGAAGATGCCTGAGACCATGAAACCAATGACTCCGGGACTCGTGTCCACCCAGAGAGTGCTGGAAGCTCAGCACTTGCGTCTTGGGAGTGCTTCGATTTGTCGCAGCGTTCAACCCTCTGGAGTGCTGATGCCATATTACTGTCGTTTTTCTGCACCTTTGACTCGTTGCTTAAGGGAAGACTCATGTCAAAGGAAGATACGTCGTGCTAATCGTAGGTGCGCTCGAGGCCGAAAGAGGTCCCGACATGCAGCTTCATTGTTGATTTAGGGTTTAGGGTTTAGGGTTAGGGTTAGGGGTTTAGGGTAGTTGGTTATGATTGGATCTGTGACCCAGACTTATGGAATCGAACTCCATTGCTGTCAGTGTGCTAGTTTAAAGTTCAGGTGCTTATCACACTGCGTTCTCGGTCTTGCTCATATGGCAGTTTTGCTATGATGTGCTGTCCATGTCCCAGCCATTTCTGTTAGTGCTAACTTTGCTGGCTTCGCGACCTCGAGGCTTAGATATTCCTAATCCCGGAACCCTTATCCTACTGCCCGAAACCCGAAACCCCAGTCCTAAACCCTACACCGCCCTAAACCCGTAATCCCTGATCCTCCACCCCGAAACCCCAATTCTGAACCCCAAGGCTTGGATCCCTACTCGTAGCCCATGTCTGGTAGCTTGAGCTTGCCAGTTATTCTTAGTATGCCCAGTATGACTGCCATCTACGACATGTATAGTCATATGTATGTATGTGTAGATAGATCCCGGTTTGGAGATACACAGCCCAAGCCCCGAAGCTCTATGATCTGCAGCTCATGGGCCAACCCTTTTAAAGCCCAAGCAGAGCTCCTTGATAAGAGCCAGGCTTAAGAATCAAACACACAAAGAACCTTTTCTTTTCAAAAACACAGTAGGTTGCTAAAGAAAGGGGTTTCGTTGGTTCCCATCACGGGCTACTCCCAAATCTAAATCCCTGGAGAGGTGGGCGTTCAGGGCTCAAGATTTTACAGTTTTGCGTTTGTGGTTTCGGGTTTGCTTACCTGGCACCCTAGTTGGCAAAGCCAAGGGTATTTATAGTTGTAAGTACAGCACGAGCATTAACCTATGAGAGCCAGCGGAAACACAAGGTCTTCCAAAGACTCAGCGAAAAGATCAGATGGAGCCACCGTCGCACCTGAGCAGCGAGAAGGGGGTTAGGGTACAGTGCGCATTGCATGCCTCTGATTTCAGAGTTGTTTTCTTCATTGTGAAACTCCGAAGCCTCAACCGTAAATCGTGTGGCAGCCAAAGCACAGGGCGCTGTAGTGGCGGCAGTCAACTTCACTTGTAGGGCAGCCGACTTCATAGTCTTAATGGTGCTTTGGGGGATGTGGCAGCTTGAGCACAGGACGAGCCTTTAGCAAGAACATTTGTGTCGGAAGCTGTTTCATCGGAGTTCCCATAAACTCCGTTCAGGGTTAGTAGATGCACAATGACCGCCGGACCTTTATTCCCCAACCGTTTTCCCGACACTCTCCACCCTGAGTCCTGCAGCATACGGTTCCCAAGTGCTGACTGACCTTTCGAAGCAAGGGTCACGGCCGTAAATTGAGTTCCCAGAGTTCCCACGGCCTTGCTTTTTTTTACGGGCGTTTGGTGTGCGACTTGGTCGTGTCTGCTTCGACGAAGCAGACGACTTCCGAGAGTACAGTCGCCCCCCGCTCTCAGCGCAGGAGACGCAGTCTACAGCCACGGGCAACAACTCACCGCGTGCATCGGAGAACTGCTCCGAGGCACGAGGCTGTGTCGTGTGTACATATATGCCTTCGTGCATACACGTGCGTTCGTCGTTGTGAGTCCGCACGCACGTATTATTGACGTCGATGACCGACAGCGACCGGATGCATGACGCGATTATTATACAGCTTCTGGTATCTCACTGTTGCCGTGAATCCCATTGCGCGATTGTCGTCGGGCCCTTGATGCAACGTGTTCCATCATGTTGCACCAAACACTGTGCGCATGCTCAAACGGAATTCCATCTTGGCCTGCTTATCAGACATGTTGCAAAGTTCAGAGGTTCGACTATATAACAAGGGCTATCGAATGTCCATCCTTTTTACTGCAGGGCCTGTGGCCGGATAGGTTTTCCGCACTTCATCCATGCAATCAGCAAGTTCTAAACTGTAGAAGCTGAAGCACGTAGTACACGGTCATTGGTTTGAGCTTGCAACCTCAAGCTCGCTATCAAGATCAGGGCCTGAAAAGTAGGTCTATTGATTTATGATGATACTATTCCCTCAATAGTATAATTGTACTTGTGTGTCCCGGAGGCCTCTCCACAATATTAGTCCGGCCCTACCCTGCCCTTCATGCGTTCATTGGCCTCTCGGTCTGGTCATCATGAGACCCATGTGGTGATCAGCACGCAGCAACTACAAGTATGACGCCCACATTCAACTCTTGAGGGTTCATGGCTAGAGAATTCGAATTTAATTTTCAGTGTGCTTGGATTGTTTCATCTTTACAACTATGGCCTGGACTGGAGGTGGTGGTGGTGGTGGTGGTGGTGGTGGTTTTGGTGGTGGTGGTGGTGGTGGTGGTGGTGGTGGTGGTGGTGGCAGCGGTGGTGGTGGTGGTGGCGGTGGCGGGCGGCTGCTACTAGCGGCACCAACACCATGACGACGACAAAGGCTACTAATACTACTCGTGCTGCTGCTGCTGCTGCTGCTGCTGCTGCTGCTGCGACGACTTGAACAAATCTCCTAGTGGCGCTTGCATATGCTGGGAATTCTAGTAATCAGGAGCTGTCAGCATGATGAGCATCACCAACCCCAGAGGTCGGCGGGACGCAAGAGAAGACCGGGCCGGTGTTGCCTTTGCAGAAGCGCGAGTCCGTCGCTTGGTGTGCCGCTAGGCCGGCAGAAAGGCACAAGAGGTTTTGTTGTAGGTGTTGTTGCAGAAGGGCCCCATTATTGCTTGCAATTTGTGATGAGGGCCTTTAAACTTTCCGAAACTCCCATCTGTGGGTTTCAGGTTCATGGGGTAGATGATTCGGTGGGACCAGGGGATGATCATCAATGGAGCTTCTTGTTCATCTGGTCTGTGGCTTCGGCAGCGTGTGCTCTTGTTGCTGTGTGAACATGCAGACTAGTCCAAGTGTGTGTATGTGTGTTTTGGCTGTTACGGGGTGTTTCGTGATGGGGGCATTGTGCGAGCTTTATGTTGGATTTGGTGGCCGGTGTCTAGCATTCAAATTCGAAAGTTGCGACTTCATATTTAGACGGCTTCGAGATTCAACTCGATGGTGGGTTCTCAGACCATCCAGCATATAAGAAACCAACTCAATACGGGATTGTGCTCATTCTTTTTAAAGTTCAGAGGTATGGGTTCTTCTGCCGGAGGCTTCGGAACAATTACGAGGTGCTTCAGCGTCCGTTGGAGAGAGCCCGCGATCGGAACCTTTGGAAGGTTTGTCACGTGTGGGTTCGGGCTGGGTTATAGACTTGCTGATGACAGCTTTCAACACAATAGTAATGCTGACATTAAAGTTTATGATTGTAATCGGGATTCTGAGGGTTTCTGGACCTTATAGCTTCGGGGATCGGAGATGTTGACGGATGGGCACGCCTGGACCAAGGATATCAAAGACGAGGAGAGCAGGGCTGTTCATGTCTCAGTCTTTCGGGGCATCAGGGTCTTGGGACCTACTCATGTCATGTTGGGCACAAGCTTCCACCCGGAATCCCCAAAGCCAGTCAGCCCGCAACCCGCGGCTTGGAGGCATCGTAGAGCCCCGAACTCCGAAGATTCATCGAAGTCCTCGGATCAAAAAGCTCCAGTCGTGTCTCTTATGGTCGCATGCAGTCGTGCCGGGAGCCTACAATATGTAATATGAACTTGGTTTGTGATTATACTTTTCGGCAACAGACAGGTTTTGCCGAAGCCCTGAACTCCAAGCCCGGCAGGAGCTTAAATCGCCATGTAAGGCAAGGAGGGTATCAGCACAGCTGGGAAGCCAGAAAATTCCATCTAGAAGCTGGAGTAACTAACACCTTCGTCAGGCTTTGAGCCTTCTTCCTTATTTGTAGAGTAGATGCCACAGAAGTCTTCAATGTTCTCCCTGTTTTCGCAGGCAATTCATGTGTGGCAGCTGTAGTGAGGATAGCAACGAACACTCGCATCCCTGTCCGAACTTGCCTCCTACAATCTCCCATATGAGACCCAAACCAATGCAACCTGCAGGAGGAATTCGAGGACTACAATGATGCAGACGGAAACATGCCCTTCTCTCCGCAAAGCTGGCTTGCTTGCGTCCACGGGCTGTCCCTTTCTTTGGTATGATCCAGTTTTTCCGGCGGGTAGGATCCGATAAGGAGCGAACGATATTGGCGCAGCGGTGTTTTTTCGGACCTACGGGTTTAAGTCGACTTGACCGTGGGCAACCCACTCGCATGGAAAAGATGGCTCCCGATATCCCCGAGAGATAGGATCAGAGGCCGAATAAAGAATACAGATTCGTTCTCTTCTAGGTAATGCAATACCGTGTGTCTACCACAAGCGAATGAAGACGACATTCGATGTGTAAGCTCGAGTGTATTCTACATAGTTACATTGTTAGTAGAAACTTAGATATGGACCATATGGAACATAAACATGAACGCATCGCAGATATGCACATACAGGTACAGGTATGGATACTGATGTGTATATATATATATATGTNNTATATGTATATATTTATTTATTTATAAACATACAGCATCATGTAGAGTAGGCCATGAAGCCACTGTCCGCCAAAGGCATCAGGCATCGGAAGCCGATCTGGGGGAAGGGTCAGTATACCCGAGGTTAGGAAAATGTATTCAGGATTGCTGTTCGTATGAGATACCATGTGGCCATTCGCCAGTTCGGTGAAAAGCACCGCGACGACTCCCAGCCGCAGTGGCCGCCGCGCCGAGCGCCGCGCACGGCGTCGGCGTGAGGCGCAGAAGGCACACCGCGGTCATCGCTCGTGTTTGACAGCATGACATGCATATGGTTACTGTTGCACATGTAGCAAGACATGAAGCCTGGACACGTTTTGGGTATCTTTCTTACAAGTCCGTTTCAAAGTGCTCTGCGAGGCATCCATAGAACAATGAATGGAGGGGCGACAGATCTGGCTCTAATCCACTGGCATTTGCTCCACGAACATGCTGTATTTTCGTTCTGCATCAGGTTTGTCAGGAAAGGTGAGAGAAGGAGTTAGCCTCATGCAAGCCGAATGCATCTATGTACCGGGATCGCCTTATTTGCTGCTGCTGCTGCTGCTGC